GCGTATTTGGGACTGATCTTCAATAACCAAAGAAATACTAAAGATGAATTCCAACAACGAACAGCAAAAGGTAGAAAATTCATTGGAGCGGTCTATTCTCTACTTTGGGCAAGAAACATGAGACGAAAAACCAAACTTTGTATTTACAATATAGTCGTAAAAAGCACTACCACATATGGGTCAAAAGTATGTTATGTCAAAAAAACAGAAAATTACTGCCCACAGAAATGGAAGCTGTCGGATAACGAAACTCCGATAAAAAAATGCATGAACATCGAGAGAAACCTTATTGACGACATAGAGAGAAAACAATTGTCTTCTCTCGGGCATATAAAAAGAATGGGTGAGACGAGATTGCCAAGATAAATATTTTACCACCAGAACGCAAGAGAGGAAGATCAAAGAGAAGTTGGAGGAATGAAGTTGAAGAAGAAATGAAGAAAAGAAATCTAGAGAAAGAAATGTGCTATGATAGAAAAAAATGGAAAATGGGAAGGGAGAGGAGGTGACAATCATAGTAGTCCGTAATAATCATCTAAATATTTACTCACTTGTCGAGCAAAATGTCATTTGGAAGAAATTGTAAGTACAATAATTTTGTTATTCAAAAGACCTGCCCAAACAATTTATTTTTTGTGGATGTTGTGTAGGTAATTATTCGCATTCCAATACCTACAATTTCGTTTATTTACTTTTCTTCCTTTAATACACACAAAGCTGTTCCTTGGGTAACATCCTTATTTGATGCAACTGGGCATAGACAATCTTTTACATGGCCTGTTTCTATTAATTTTCTCTCGGTTTGACTCACTGTGGATCTTGTAATGGGTCTCCTTCTGTATGTTTTGCGCTAAATACATTATAAACTGCTTCATGAATTCTCGTTTTGTCTCCATATTTCATTTAGATATTCTCTTCCTTTACTGATACAAATGTAATTGTAACAATTTAAGAACTTTACTCTCCTTTGCTCATAAAAAGTAAAAGATAGGTATAGGTTATGCCACATTTATGCTCGAAATTTAATACAGAATTCAAAAATATATTGTGAAAAATCGTGTTCCATTTAAAGAGAGAACTTGGTATTTACATCTCCTTTTTAAACCATCCTGTATATCTTCTGCTTACTGCATTTTTCTTGAAATTAAATAGTTGATTTCTAAATAAATTTGTTCCACATTTTAGCGGTTTACTGTATAGTGCCATAACGATTGTTATGTAGCTAGCACTAAAGAGATTCGAAGCTTTAGCGTAAACTTTGGCAATAATATGAACAAATTATATCTACTATATTAATTACTAAATTGAAAAATAAACAAATATATTTGAAACGCAATGTCCAATTGTTTTTCCGTTACAAAGATTTTAAACAACGGAGAAAACTTCAATAATTCATAATAAAAGAAGTTAGCAATGGTGCGGAGTTGAACTCGTTACCTTGTATACTACGTCACATTTTAATATTTGAAAGTACAAGCATGCAGTTTGGTAGCCTATGAAACCCATAACCATATAAGATATAGCATATTATATCAACAATTGTTAGAAAGTTATATTAATAAATATACTTATAGATGTAAATTACAGGTTCAATAATAAAATACAAACCTAAATTGACCGTGCAAAACTACCCTGATTGTACCGATCCGGAATAACATAAGCATAGTTTATTAAAAGTCAAACTTAAGTAAAGAATTATAAAAAGTTTTCAAAATTTGCTTGACATCGAGAGATAAATGCTTTTTCTTTAATGAAACACGAGCAGTAGGAAAGCTTTCCCAATGACGGAACACAATGCTTCTAAAAGCAATATTTGACAAAACAACAAGGCATTAATATCGTTTACTGTCCGTGAGAAATTGAAACTGAATTATTAAAAATAAAAAAAAACAATAAAATAACGCATTTCTACCTATTAATCTATTCAAATAATCTTTTTAGATCGGCCCAATACCATTAGTAATGCATCTGTGAAGGCACTATAATATTCTTGTAATACTGTTTGCTGGGGTAATTCATCTTGCACAAAGTGTTTGTTTAACAACTATAGAGATTGTTGGAACAGTTAATCTTAAGTCATCAACTGTGCTCTGCAAATCTCTGTTTGGTAGGTTATAAATATAGTTTTTCATTATTCGTTTAAATTTATTTCATATTTAAATGTTAAGAATAATTTCAGTGATTTTGAATTACATAAAATTAACAAAAAAACAAGAGGAGAAGATAGCAAGCAGCTGAAAATATGCAAATGTTTTTCATGCATACAACATATTATTAGAAATCGATTTGAACTCTATAATTACTTTTAATTATCATCATGCGAATAGAATTAAGCTCGTACATAATTTTGAACAACGCTTGACACCTCCAGTTGCCAAACAATATCAAGAGCAAAATATTTAATTCAAGCTCAATATATATAGTGTTTCTAGAAGCAAAGTGCTTTCGTCTTACCGTATGACTTCTGTAGTAAATAAGACAAGTCAGAAGAAAAAAAGAAGGTTACAAGAAAGACCCCTAAGCTTTTACATTTTTTGGCAAATTCAAGCTGAATACCATTCAAGGAAAGTTTCAAATCATTATGTTCGATAATTTTCCCATTTTAGAACCAAAAAGAACAACCTGCGTCTTGGAATTATTTAATATCTGACCATGGGTTTAGAAATTATGGAAATCACTTCAAGATCATTTATGCCATTGAAAGAAAAAGCTACATCTCTGCCGACCACCTCCCCGGTAATTCCTCGTAAAAGCAGAAAGCAGTGCAGTAAAACGGAACTTAACTTAAAATTATGATTTAAGGTATTAAAAAGCTTTGCTGTAATCCAACAAAATGAAACAAGTATGAAAGTTTAAAATCTGGCCCGCCGTAACCTATCCAAAAAATGTTCTAGTTAAACTTATACGTAACAGGACGATACATCAAATAAGTAGGGTTGCAGTTGACGCCCTGTTATAAATAACGAGTGCGTTAAAAAATGATCCGTCCAGGAACGAGGAGTTGCTGCATATTTTTCGGGAATGATTAATGCCGGTCTGGTCGGAACATAAAGCTTTTACTACTCGAACTCTTTTGGCTCTTAAAAAGCGCAATGAACTCTGTTTTCTTTGGCAATCGTTCAAACCGTACAAGATGTTTACGTAGTTAACCACTGTACTCGATATTTTCTGAAAAATGGTGGCCATCTCTGCTGAAAAAGAAAACAGATATTAAAAGTCGCTTTGAGAAAGAAGCAACTTTTTTTGGAAAATGAGCAATGGATTTTATTGGAGACATCCTAATAACCTTCCTTTAATTTCAATTAACCCTTTTGTTCATTTATGTCAATGATGACTTAACAGCAAGTTCCATTATAATTCAAAATAACAAATCGTCTCACTCTTTCTCAAAAATATTATAGCAAACTGTCAGGAAACAATTGCTATACTGTCTGATGAAACGTTCTAACATAAAAACTCAGAAAGGGCAAAAGTACCTAATCTATCGGCTCGAACTAAAAACATACTTTATACTTTTACTAAAAAGTTAAAAAAATTAAATACAAAACAGGATAAAAAGAAAGGACTTTTAGGAGATTCTCTGAATATTGTCACTCAAAACAAGTTTTAAAAAAATTGCTTCTAAAAGCAAGGACCATTGTTCCATCGAGAATGTTGAAAAACAGAATTAAGGCGGTATCAATTTATTTTAAACAAAACTAAGTTCTTAGACTTAGTTATAGTTTCTTTAATAGTAATAATAATTAATTATTTTAAAAGTTAGAGCAATATGCTTATGAAGTGTGAGCTCTTAACCCTGGTAATGCATTGTCACATCACAATCCGGCTCAAAAATCATCAGTTATCAACTCTTTTATTTACAGAGCCATAAAATTACCTCAACCTGAGTCACAGTCCCTGAACCCAGAATTAAAACACCTTATATCTGCTCTTCTCTCTAATAATTTCAATATTAGAGATATTAAGTGTTCCATCACAAAATACACTTGACCACAACATTCCAAAATATGTGAATCCGAAAGCAACCCCACACTTGCCACTGTTGCCTTTGTAAAAAATATAAAGTTCTCAACAAATATAACGTTCAAGCGAGATTTACCACTTGTGCAAAAATCCTTCAACATCTTCATTCTGTTAAGGATAAAAATTCGTTTGAGATATAAGGAGTCTACAGCATTCCGTGCGTTTGCGGCAAAGAATTCATTGGAGAAACAGGATGAAAAGTATCAACTTCGCTAAAAGAACATGAAAGAGCATTAAGACTAAGACAAACAAAACCATCAGCAGTTGCCGAACACATTTATGATACTTCATGATTCTTATGAAATCTTATTAATCTAAAACTCTTGCATGCAATTAACTCTTCTACCAAAGAAAAATCCGAAAATCAATCCGAAATTTATATCTTAAAACCAATATGGGAAAAAATAGCAAAAACCGCCGCAGGAGGAATCCAGAACATTTGTAAATAGCTTTTTAAAGGGTTTAACAACAGGTCTTAAAGTACCTACAAAAAGAGGCCCACATGTATTTGTGCTTCATGCAGTATACGGAAAAGGATTTTTACCCGGCCCCGACCGAGTTTTCTTAAGAAAGAAAAACGACGGCGATTTCGACAATTTTAGTTGAGGAGTCGCTAATTCCCTATTTGGACAAAAATTTTTCTTATGGATAATGCTTCCTATCACTCTTGTAAACATACGTACCCATTGACGTCATAGAAAAAAACCGAAATTCAAGATTGGCTGCTCGAATAAAACATTTTGTTTGACTCCTACTTAAAATCAGAGCTGTTGGAAGTTGCCCACGCATACAGAAATGAGTATGACAAATATAAAATTCAACAAATGAAAAATATGTATAAAACTTTAATTAGTAGAGGGCGTATTCAACAAGAAGCTTTAAAAGAAACCTGTATACTTACAAAAACGCCATATCGTGGATGAGGGATATTATGAATAAAGGAGATTTAATGAAAAAGTAGTGATTTTCAAACTCACCGTATAGTCTTTATCAAAGCGAAATTGTTCCGACCTTGGATAAACTGGCAAAGAACCTAAAAGGAGAAAATTAAAGCAATACAAATAAAAGCCGTGCCGTAGAGTTGATGAGATTTAAGTAAAGCAGAATAGATAAAAGACAAGTAGTAATGATATCACACTTAATTATCTTCAAGAAATTAAAAGATATAGATTACACAACAGATCCATAATTTACCTTGATGATACACTGTTCGATACACACGACACTATATCCGAAGGATGGGTTGAGTTTGTTTAAAACCGTCAGACGAAAGCACCTTCAAATAAACTAAATCGCATAAAAAATGAAATTAATAACATACCTATTAACTGCTGCACATTATAAAAATTGAGGACCCTTATATTTCTATACAAAACAATATAAATCATATTGTAATTAATCTTAATGACGGCTCCTGATAGTGATACAGAATTAGATTTAAACATTTAGAATAAAAATGTAGTTCTGTATTGTTATTCCTAGCTATGAATTTATCGTATATATTTAAGATCATTGTTTTCTCTTAGAGTAGTTTAATACGGTTATACCAAGCTAAATAAATAAAAAAAAAGTAAATTATTACTAAAACCTTTGAGAGTCCGTCCCTTTAATATCTACCGGACCCGAGTTTTATTGCCATCGGCACTTCCATAATTGCGGGCAAAAGGCAGTGAGATGAAGACTGGGACAGACTATACTACTTGAAGAGGGTCATAGGTAAATTGAAAATCACAAAAGCATAATAATCTATTATAAAATACATATTATTATTATTAAATAATAATAGATAACACTCTACAATTGCAAGATCAAATTTGAATAGTCAATTAAGACAATTAATTGACCTCGGTCAATTGACACTAATAGTGATTGTGCAGCGCTCCCATACTTTTTTCAGCGCTCATTAAATAACTGACACGCATAAAACCGGATACACCGGTTTCGTTGTCTATCTGAATAATAAATAAAAAAATTCACAGCAACAAATTTCATCTGACAAAAAACTGGCGGCGTAATTAACGAAACAATTGTTTACCATGACAAAGCCTCAGGCGCGCACATGAATAAAACAAATGGTGTCGTTTTTGTTTTAGTTGTTAAATCTAGAAGGTCGGCCCAGCGACAAGCGATAACGATCTCAGTCAGATATATGTCCGTGGGCAAAACACCCCCCAATTAGGGTCGAGGCGCAGCGATTTCGATCCGAGAACAGGGGAAAATATAAAGCGCCGCACCGCGAAATAATCGATGGAAAGCGACAAGTGGAGTCGGACTGGAAATATTAGCGGGATATGCGCAAAATTCACGATGTAAATTCCGCGGTTTTCGAAACTAATTTTGTAGAACATTTCGGTTCAAATGTTTGTGTTTATTATTAATCCCAGCAAACACTTCCACGTATCGATAACGTTATTGGGTTAAATTAATTAAACCCCAAATAGGTAAAATCCGACCGAATTTGTTATTTTATTCGACAATTATTCGGATTTTCGGGTAAATGCGGGGGTTAGATTTGAATGTGATCTACGCGTTTTTTATTGATTATTACTTGATTTCAATGACATTATTTTCATTTCGGAAAATACGACACTAATGATCGTTACGCAAAATCTGCGTTAATTTTAATTTGTATATGACAGATATACAGTGAACAGAACGTTGTAAAATTTAAAAAAACGCTAAAGATTTTATCAAAATAAAATATGACTTTCCTTCGGTGTCCGAATGTCAATTATTAGCAATAACATTTCAAGATTGATCAATGTAATTAATTAACTAATTTTAGTGGGACTTATTTTGTCAAAATAAGCTAAAGGATTGCTTTTGATAAGTTAACTAATGTTGTGGCTTCTATAATAGCATTAATACTGGTCCCCATCCCGAAAGTGCCATTTTACTCGACGAGTAGGCCTATGGCTGTGTCCAGTAAAAGCACTTTTGGGATGTGTTACGTGAAATATATTTTCTTAAACCAGCTCTATCTATAAAATATGACATTTCTATGAGAAATCGCTGTAAAGGGTCCCTTCACTTTAATTCAATGTTTTATTTCGAATTTCAATGTTACGTTCGCGGCACTACGGCAGTACATTTTGCAGCAAAGTTTGCGATAAAAAAAGTAAATATAACAACTATAAACTCATTAACAGAATAAATGTTTTATAATATTAATATAATATTGTATATTTTAATAATGGTGACTTTAATTTTATTTTAAAAAGTGAAAACTTAACACTTTTACACTCAAGCTATTTGTCGATTTTCGTGATATTAGAACATTTAGTCTGAGGATTTTCGGATATTGTTGAACTGCAACAGGCCTTATTATTGAATATTATTATGAGAGTATTGTGGTGTAGTTCTATATTGTTTTATACACACAGGTAATTAATAAATATACAACGAGTCCAATCTGATCACACCGAAGTCACTGAAATATTGCTTAAAAGGTACTGCTATTATGACACCCGTCATAGAGAGTTGCGTGTTCCCAGCCATTCCTTAAGAGTTTCGTACCTAATATATTTTACATACATACATTTCTCTTGTCCTACCTAAGTTTAGATTTAAGCACTTAATAGTTTTATGCAACAAGTGTGCTAAACGGCATTTGAGTCAGGAGTCTGGCACTAGCGGAGCGAGTTTTTAATAAACTAGTGACTCAAAATGTTACGTTTTGCATAATATACTTTTTCTTCGACCGTTAGTTTTTGGGTACATTTTTGCAAAATAACACAAATACATAGCCCTCAGAATCGAAAAACGTCAAAATTCAAGCCGCGCTTTTTAATAAACCAATAAGAAGCTATATGATTATGTAATGTCTGCTTGAAACTAACATTTGCAGGTAATTTTTATTACTTCTTATTAAAACAAAAATATTGCGTGCATCTGGACTGAAACGGAAACTATTTAAATGGTAATTAACAGATAATAAAATAAGCATCACAAAATATTATTTTAAATGTTTAAAATAAAAATGTAAACATCTTATAAATTTAAAACAAAGAAGCCATCATTATAAATTGTAAAGAAAGTCGTTTTTAACACTATCCTTATGATTAGAGAATAATATTTTTTAGTTTCAAACACATGCAATATTAATATAACAGGTTTATTGATCGAGTAATAATAATAATATCAAAGTTACTTAAAATAAAAGGAACAGATTTTTTTCAATTTTACCTAATTACCGTTACTTAGGTTGTGGTAATAAAATGAAAGAAAAATATTAAGAATATTTAGGTGTTATCTTTCACCCCTTCTTAGTCGCATTATTGTGTAATGCTTAATTATATACAGTCCATATATGATATGTACAACATTGCTTGTTTGCTTATCACAAACAATTTAAAAAATGAACTACTCTTAAAATCAACAAGAAAACGCTTACAAAAACTTGGAGACACTGAAAATGCAAACAGCGGTCACTACCTAACAACACACGTGGACTACAAAGAAGGGACACACAGAAGCTATAGGCGAGTTTATCCCTTGGTCTATTGGCTAGTGAAAGTCGCATAACAGCAGAACTTCTTTTCTTTTTAAAATGTTGAGGAAATATTTTAGAAGTAACAACCTGTCGTCAGTAAAATATAAACATTCAAGGTTGATTAAATTAGTCATCTTATTAAGTAATAATTTGTTTTGAACATGATTCCGATTAAAACAAATACGCAATACATTAAATATAGAAAAAAAAATATAGGAAAGAAAATTTTTGATGTTTTAATGCGACTAAACGAATAATTTATAAACAAATCAATGTCAAAATATTTTCAAAAGTACCTAAAATGTTATATTTTCATTAGTTAAATTATTCATTACAAGGTGAATTTACTGTGCATTTTAAAATGCTTTTTTTTCTGAATTTAGTACCGGTGAAGTTCTAAAATTGTCAGTAACGAAAGTGAAAGCCAGAGAATTGAAATTTAACATTTCATTTGGAATGGAAAGAAAACCAGAATTTAAGAAGATGTTTGGAATTTGTAATTCGGGTAATCTGTAACACAAAATGCCCAGAGAGACCAATTACAAGATCTTCAGTGAGTGAGAGAGAATTTTTATAAAAACGGGAAATAAAAGATCATCCAAACACTAATGAGTGCACAAGATTAAACATTATTTTAGGAAGTTCAGGATAATCCCCATCGTACATTTTCTGAAGTAGCTTTAGGTGTATTAAAACAAAAAAAGTATCATCCGTATGATGATCCCGGCCTCAGACCACAGTTTTATGAAACTATGATGGAAATGTGCAACTTAAAACCATTTTTTCGTAGTCAGATACTCTTTAGTGATAAGTCTGGGTATTGTCTAGATGTTACGGTAAATAAACAAAATTGTAGGTATTAAGGTACAGATAATCCCCGATGGATGAGAGAAAATCATCAAACATCCACAAGAAATATATGTTTGGCCAGGGATTTTGAATAACAAAATGATTGAACCTTAGATTTAGATTTTGAAAATAGTGTCCCATCCACATTTTGACCCACCCTGCATATTTTTGCGATTCCCTGTGGATAGATCTTGTTATTAACAAATAATGGCAAAAATTTGTTTTAATTAACAGAAAAAGAGGAAAAAATTGAACGGGAAATGGAATTTAAATATTTAAACTACAATTTTAATGAAAGAGCGCGTGTTAAAAAAAATCAACCGAATAATGGGATGGTTAAGGTCTATTTATACATATCAGTGATGTATCAGTGCCTCGTCAGTTCAGTATCAATGCCAATCAGTATAGATCAGTGATATTTATACAAAAAACAAATCTTTCTTAGAGATCATAAAAATACAGTAATATACTCCATACATTACCACCTGCACTGCGATTTGAATCCCATTGAACTGATATGGGCCGAATTAAAAACAAAGCTAGATGCAATAATATAAACCAAAAAATCTCCGCCCATATAATTGATGAAATTAAATCTCAGTGTGACTTAATACCAGAGAGCAGTTGGAGAGAATGTGTTAGTCACATACTTAAAGTTGAAAATTATTATGAAAAAACTTGTGAAAACGAAA